CACCGCGCCAGCCCCAAGGCGGCCCCCTCCGCCCGCGTCCCGGCCCGCGCCGCCAGGATCCGCTGCCAGGCCGTCGCGGCGCCCGCCGCCCCCTCCCCCCTCGCCGCCGCGGGCGAGCGCGGCGTCTACAACTTCGCGGCGGGCCCGGCCACGCTCCCGCTCTCCGTCCTCCAGAGGGCGCAGGCGGAGCTGGTCAACTACCGCGGCTCCGGCATGAGCATCATGGAGATGAGCCACCGGGGCAAGGAGTTCGACGCCGCCATCAAGAAGGCCGAGGCCGACCTGCGCGCGCTCCTCGCCGTCCCCGACACCCACGAGGTGCTCTTCCTGCAGGGCGGCGCCACCACCCAGTTCGCCGCCGCGCCGCTCAACCTCTGCGCCTCCCCCTCCGACCCCGCCGACTTCGTCGTCTCCGGCTCCTGGAGCGACAAGGCCTTCAAGGAGGCCGGGAAGTACTCCGCCGCCGCCGTCGCCTGGTCCGGCAAGGCCGCCAAGTACACCTCCCTGCCGGCGGACTTCGGCGCCCTCGCGCAGAACCCCGGGGCCCGGTTCCTCCACATCTGCTCCAACGAGACCATCCACGGCGTCGAGTTCAAGGACTACCCGGAGCCGAGGAACGAGGCGGGCCTCCTCGTCGCCGACATGTCCTCCAACTTCTGCTCCAAGCCCGTCGACGTCTCCCGCTTCGGCCTCATCTACGCCGGCGCGCAGAAGAACGTCGGCCCGTCGGGCGTCACCATCGCCATCGTGCGCAAGGACCTCGTCGGCCGCGCGCAGCCCGTCACGCCGGTGATGCTCGACTACAAGACGCACGCCGACAACGCCTCGCTCTACAACACCCCGCCCTGCTTCGCCATCTACATCTGCGGGCTGGTGTTCGAGGACCTGCTCGCGCAGGGCGGCCTCGCCGAGGTGGAGAAGAAGAACCAGCACAAGGCCGGCATCCTGTACGACGCCATCGACGCCAGCGGCGGCTACTTCGTCTGCCCCGTGGACAAGCCGGTGCGGTCGCTCATGAACGTGCCCTTCACGCTGGCCAAGGGGGCCGACTACGAGAAGCAGTTCATCGCCGAGGCGGCCAAGGAGGGCATGCTGCAGCTCAAGGGGCACAGGTCGGTCGGCGGCGTGCGCGCCTCCATCTACAACGCCATGCCGCTCTCCGGCGTGGAGAAGCTCGTCGCATTCATGAAGGACTTCCAAGCGAGGAACCCTTGATGGGCCCGTCGTCGCCATGGTCCTCCGGTATCGCTCGCTCTAGTAGGATGTCTTGTTGTTTATCATATATCATAACATAAGTAGGCTGCAAGATGTTGTGCACCGTCGCTCATATGAGATTTGCTATCCGTCTGTAGTATTAGTATGGTAACCATTTTGCAATGCTGCTGCATCTTCCCCGCGTTTGCGGGACTCTTCTCCATCTGCTCGCCTTTGAGATTGGAACATGTTGTATTGGGGAATAAAGGTTGGTCGATGGTCAATTGTTTTCAGATTCTGATTCTGCTGTATGATTGAGGGCTAAATTCAGGTTTGGCTGCTTTTGTGATCTCTGTAAGCAAGCAAGTTTGTTGATCATTGTCTCCTAGAGGCACCTGTTGGCTTGCTGTTCTTGTGATCTTGGTAGAGTTTTCTGGGTGCGGAATTCTGTGGAAGATTGGGTGCACTCTTTTGTGTAGCAGCCATTTATGTGATTTATCAGACAGACAGACAGACAGGCAGGCAGGTCAATTATGTTGAGGACCAAGCACAGACCAGTGCATCATTACATATTTTTGGTATTTGGAGGTTGGTGAGCAGCAAGCTCCCGAGAGTTTGGTGATCTACTACTAGTATATTTGCTGGTTCCAGTGTCCCTGTCTGTCTTGCCTCAGTCGCCGGGCCGATACGACGAGCTACCAAAATACAGATGCGGGGATGTGACGGCGGTTTGGTGCCGGCCAAGGACCGGAATCACTACCAGCTCTCAAGCTCCCAAATCTCACGGTGGTAAACAGCAAGGTGCCCTGTGGGTTTGTTCTGACTTTTCTTTTTTAGTCCTCTGTTTGATGGTGTCGGCTTTTGGTTTGAGTTCCTGCAGTGAAGCTGTGAGTCGTTTGATCACTCCGTGTGGGTTTTCTTTTCACTCGAGCCCATGATACTTCTGGTACTCCGTAGTATAACAACTTTTGCTGCCACTTGGTTAGAAAACAACAATAGTGGCTAAGATTTATCTACTTCCGCTTACTACGCCATACGTGTATCCGATCATGTCATACTACTCCGCACCAAAAATACTAAAGTCGTTTTTTTTTACTAATTCGGAAAGTACGAGATTCATCGCGGTAACTATCACTGGAAAACCATGGAATGCAAAGAAAATCTCTGCATAACATTAATAATAATATATTAACCGCTATATTTGCTCCCCAAGCCGCATAAATGATCTATTACAGTATCTTATACTCCCTCCGTTTCTAAATATTTGTCTTTCTAAAGATTTCAAATGGTTGCCACATACGGATGTATATAGACATATTTTAGAGTAGATTCACTCATTTTGCTCCGTATGTAGTCACTTGTTGAAACCTCTAGAAAGACAAATATTTAGGAACGGAGGGAGTAGGTCACTAGCATTTCTGTGCAGCACATCACAGTGCAAAAGGACGAGGGATGGTTCAATTTCATAATCTCATAAACAAACGCTTGTTTGACGATCATCTCATTCTCCGGAATCTTGATTACACTGTTGCTTCAATCCTTCGTGCGGGGGAAGGATTCCTATAACACGGGCGATGTGAATCTTCTTTCTGATATACTCCACATAGTACTTCGGCTTGTTAATCTGAAAAGAGAAGAAAAATAAATTTCACAGGCTAAATCATCATCTTTCAAAAGCATGCATAATGAAGACTTGAAGAGGTGTTCTCTTTCATATATTACAGTACCTGCTTTCTAATTCCCTCTGCAATCAACGCCTTAGCTCCATCCTCTTTAACCTGAAGGTAAACAGACAACATCACACTACAAGAACACATTCCACTTGCATGCCACACATACAAAAAAGACACTACTACCTACTTCCGGGGTAATGGCTGCCGTGCAGGCACAGTACTGAAGGAAGGAAGATGATAAGAGATTAGCATACATGCATACACAAAGGGAATATCAAGTCACAAGTGCAGATTATCCATAAACCTAAAGAGCCTACCTCCGATTTCATTCTCCCCATGATGTAGCCATCCTCCAGTGCAACTTTCATCCTATGTTGGCGTAATGGAAACCTGTCCAGATTATAAACCTCCTCCAGAGCTTCTCTGAAGCTCATCTGAACATCATTCAAGGCAGAAGTCATGCACTGCCAAGGATATACAGTACTTGTAAAAACGAGAGAGAACTGAATGTGCAGTGCAGATCAGTACTAACCATTCGTTGCGTGACCCGCCGCCAAATCTCAAAATAGACACCATCCAACTCCTTAAACCAAAAACTGTCATAGCCCATGCTCGCTATACACTCCTGAATCGACAGATAGCAATTCTGCTGTGAGATAAGTACTACGCTGTAAGCTACTCCCTCCGTCCCAAAATATAAAAACGTTTTTAACACTAGCATAGTGTCAAAAACGTTCTTATATTCTGGGACAGAGGGAGTACATACATAGAAATAATTCATGTGAGGGAACCTACATGGTAGCCATAGTAAGCTAAAGACGCGCTGATCTTGGGGAAGGTCGTAGCAGCGATCTTCATTGCTTGGAAAGCTCCCCGGGAGGATATGCAGTCCCACTGAGCAACAACAAAGTTGTGAGAGCACTGCAACATATATAGGCAACAGTTCCAGTCCAAGATTCCCGCATAGCCATACTTACCTTATAAGATGGCCGGCGAGCATCTAGATAACCTTCCATCCACTGTTGGCAGAGAAAAAAAAGGTCCTTAGTCCAAAAAGAATATCAAAGAAATGAACAAAGGAAATGGCATCTCCTTAACATGATCTGTGATACATACCTGTAGTCGCTTGAATAGTTCCTCGCAGTAATTGGCATACTCTTCTTCAATGACATGGCTACAAAGGAACTCATGGTAGTCACACCACCTGGCGACTGGCGTACTCAGTACCACCCTACATTGAGAAGGATAGAGAGAGAACACATTTCTTAGAGGATTTTACAACGGTGGACGATACATGACCTAAATAGCTACATTTTAAATAAAGACTTTCAAGCTGGAAACAATAATTTTATTTTAGAGCAGAATGATAAAATACTGAGCAACAAGGTGAAAGAACACAGTCGGTTGGCACTATATTTGAGTTAGTCAGTCTGGCCAGTTTATAAGTTGATAAATTAACAAGTTAAACATTTCAGAATACAATATTGCTTGTCTCAGGCAAATATTACTAAAGCTCACTAGATGTAGCATGAACTCGCACCTACATGTAATTGGCCTATAATCTGAACCCTGATATACCTTTTTCTATTATTGTAAGCAAGATCGCCTAGAGATTGCACCTCTCACAGTGGGCAGTATCATGAACATGATACCAATCTACAATACTACCTGCCCAATGCATAGTATCATAGGGGTCATATTTTATATGACATCTTTTGTTATTTTGTAGGATCCATGGGAGATGAACGCATGAGATCAATCTAAGTCTTTCTCCATTCAATGATGTGTCACATCAGCTAAATGCCTAGTTGGCACTGCATGATACTCTCCTATGATAGTTTTGGAGACTTTAGTGTGATTGTGACAGCCAGACAGCTGTTCTAACACAATCTACCACAATTACAAATTGAAGGACTCGTCGTGCATCAGAAGATAACTCACATAATTTCGAAGGACTAGGCGTTGGTAGTCACTCAGAGAAGGATCTTTGCAGTAAACAGGGTGGAAATACCAATCAAGTGTCCAATTTTCCTCGATTTGCTTGAAGTATCCCCACTTCTTATGAAATTGCCGATCACACTCGTCCTCAGAAACGTCCTTAAGGCCCAACGTATCGTCCTTTCCCTCCTCTTTCACCTGCAGACGATGAGACGCATGGCGCATAATTAAGATCAAACTAAATGAAACCAGGAGGTTAAATAAAATAAATAATCCAGCACATGTAGCATTGAACGAGCAAATGCATGAAACAGCATGCATGATGTGTGATGATAGATATCTATATAGATGGAACTGCGGATTGAACCTTGTGCCTGTAAGATCTGAAGCGGCACAGTGCATGGTGAACGACTTGCTTATCGAGCTCCTGACTGGTCAGTTTAACAGCATCAGGATAGATCCGAGGCATGGAAGGTAGCTGATCAAAGTAAGCATTGAAATCATCATCGCTGACATGCTCTCCGATGCCCAGATCATTCAGGTTTTGGATCAGAAGCTCCGCCTCTTTCACCTCCTCCCTTTCTTCCTTGGCATGTGCAGTCTCGTCTGAATCGGGTTTCTGAAAGTCCTTGGGAGTATCAGCCTCCTCTGCAGGGTGGCCGTGCGCCATGTCTCCACCCAAGCTGGTATCAGCCTCCACCATTGAGGTCTCCCCGCTCGAGACTGTGCGCGCCTTCTTTGTACGGTGCTTGGCGGCGGATTCTTCAGAATCCTGGGCTGATCCTCCGCTCGGGACCGTAGCCTTCTTCTGATGCATGATCTCCCTACTCAATCCCCACACCGCTGCCCCCTCTACGGGACGGGATCCGCCGTCGGCCGGCGCCCCTCCGCCCGAGGCCGCGACAACCTTCTTCTGCAGCGCTCGGCCGCCCGAGCCCGTACCCACCGACCACGGGTCCACGGCCCCCTTTACCTTTTTTTTTTTGAGAAAAATACGGCCCCACTTTACCGGAGAGCTCTCGCTGCGTCGGGCAAACGCACACAGCATGGTCCGGCCCAAGCGGCCCATTTACGTCCGCGTTTTTTTTTTCTGTTTCGACAAATATTTGTATATATTGATTGTACTGTAATAGCATGTTAAAAAGTGCATGTTCGCTGAAAAAACATACTAAAAAGTTTGTTCTAAAAGAACAAAAAGAAACTAGAGAAAATAAAAAACGCTCACGTACACACATGTAAATGTTCCAGAAAAATTCATCGCAAATTTGAAGAATGTTCGTGTATATATATTTTTTCAAACTAATGAATAAAAAAAGTTTATCCTCTATTCTTAGCTCAGCAGACGTACCATCATATTACAATCTGACTACACAGGTAATTGAGACATTGTGTGATGGGGCCTTGCTCCTCTACGGCTCTGCTATTTTCCATGGTTCTAGTGCTTTTGATGAAGTAAGATTCCGATTTTGTCCACGGGAAGACAGTGCGGTTGTGCACGGGATAGCCAGGTCTGAAACTCGGAGCTACCAAGACAATGAAAACAGAGAATTAAATTCTCAGAAGGTAGACCGAAAGTTCAAACCAATATAAATCTCTTGAGTTAAATTCTCTTTGGGTGAAATTGTCTTATGAACAATTTGGTTTATGATCTTGTCAGAGTTCAAACCATTTTGCTTGTACACCCCTTGATTATACGGCTGTCCTACACTCAGTGTGAAACTTGGATTCACCAAAAAATCTATAAATTTCATGCTAAGCTGTTGGAGTAGACGACCACTTGAAAACTTGGAGGTAGGGGTCACCATTCATGGTCCAATTTCATAATCTGACAACAATCAACACTTGTTTGACGATTTTCTCATTCTTCACAATCTTAACACTGTTGCTTCAATCATGTGGAGGAAGGATTCCAACAACTAGGAGCTGCCGCGTGGGAACTACGTGTTCGAGGAGCAGGTCATGTGCCTGGTGCTAGACATGATGGCATGGGATCAGACCGTCATTACCAACTAATCCCTTCGTTCTGATTTACTTGTCGTGGTTTTAGTTCAAATTTGAACTAAAACCACGACGAGTAAATCGAAACGGAGGGAGTACCAGCAACAGAACGCGCAAGTCGTCTACGGCCTCGACATGACGTGTTGCCCTTTGCGCCAGCGTAGTGCAACAAGCTTGCAGCGTTGCTATATTATTTTGTAAAGAGATAGAACTTGTAGTACTGATCATGTGAAATGCGCCAATGTGGTAGGCGACGATCTTTTTTGAATGAAATGTATTTTAGATTGTAAAGCTGACCAAAAAGGGCTGTTGAACAAAACTGCTTCATGGACGACACTTTGGTGGACGATGCCAAGACGATGGTTAATCCAACGGGCAGGGGCTGTTTAGGCTTGGGCTTGAATGGTTGGATATGACATGTCGTTTGTGTTTCGTGTAGTAACCGTCGTGTGTGAAGCAGTGCTCGATGTTGAATGTGCGTTATCCTATCTGGAACCGCACAAACTTCCTCTCAGGAGGCGCCACAAGTGGCGCCCCAACCACTAGTGTCTATATACATCCATATGTAGTTTGTATTGAAATTGAAATCTCTAAAAAGACTTATATTTAGGAACGGAGGGAGTATCTTCGTACTTGAAAAATAAGGAGTATAGAAGTCAAGTAAAAAAAAGGAGTACAAATTATGTCTAAATCGAACAGTGCAAAGTTTAATTAAAATTTAGGAAAACTATGAGCCATACCAATACTCAATTCTTGCACTATCGGACGCCACACATTTATACGTCTTCTTTTCAAGCATGGACGGAGTACATGCCTAAGTTTTAACATAACCAGATCTTTAGCGGACTTTTTTCAAAATTATCATGCTTGCAGCATCTTTTTTTTGACGAGAACAACAAGAACTCTGCCTTTGCATTATAGACGGGAAAAAGGTACATGGTACAAGTAGAGTTGGCAAACTGCCCAAAAAAGCCAAAAACACAGGAAAACACTTGCTCTCGTACAGAGAGCTAAAGATGCAAACTAGACACCATCCTACACCATGTTTCTACCCAGCCACCTCGATGGAAGGACGGAAGGCCTCGTTGAGCATTTTGATAGTTATTTACTCAAAATCATCACATTATGGGCTAGGGTAACAGATCGGTACCACATTTGAGGCAGTTCACAAAAAACCACCAACAATGGGGCTAATCTGTAACGTGGAGCACTGACACTGCGTGTTAGCCCAGAAAACAGCGAATCGGACAGGTGGGTCCCGCCTGTCGGGCTGACATGGCGCGTGTTGACGGACGCCGTTAGACGGCGAGAGACGGCCGTTTCAGCGCGCCCGTCTACTAGGTCAAGCCGTTGCCCCCGTCGATTCAGTCCACCCCTCGATTCAGTCATTCCCCGCTCCGCTCCGATGGCGACCAGCTCCGGCGTCGACGGCGCACACGGAGTCGACGGAAGCGGCGACGACGCACTCAGAGGCGAGGGCGGTGGTACTACTTCAGGGCAGAAGCGGCTGCGCTCGCAATGCGAAGTCATCGGCCCCCACACCGATGACGGCTGCGACCTAGATCCAGAGTCGGCCGCGGCGGTGGGCCTGTCGCCGGAGCCTGGTACCGAGGAAGCAGCTTTGCAGATTGGTCCCGAGGATGTGCTCCCGTTCGCCCCATCTTCAGCTAGGTAATCTGAATCTTTCAAAATATGTTCTTTCAATCTTTCCTTACTACTGGATCTGTTTTATACATTGAACAAAGATTCTAGTTCTGAATATTGATTTGTTAGTCATTTAGAAGTGACTTCCTGAATATATATCGAATATCACATCTTCAGTCAGGGTTCAGTTATGTTAGTAGTACTGTAGGGCTCTAAATTTTTGGAGAAAATCACACTGCAGTGTTCATTTATGTTATTGTCATGTTACTATAATTGACTTGGTAATTTTGCTTACACTACATTGTAATGGTGAGCTATATTAGGCCTGAAGATATTCATTTGTCTATGCTAGTAATGTTAGTACTAATTTGATGGTTCTAAATTTTTTGAATAGTGCATTCTAATGGTCAGATATAATGGTCAGTTATGTTGATACAATTGACTTATTAATATTCATTTGTATGTCCATTTTAGGCCTGAAGATTTATGGTCAATCTATTTCCAGTTTCCTGGGAAGAAGTATGCTCTTGTTAAGATGTCTGAAAGAGAAATCACTTATGGTAGTTTGGTCAATGTAATGGTCACCAATGGATACTGTAAGGATGACAGTCTTTGCTACTTGAAAGAGGAAGATATAGGGCTGCAAGGTGTTTGTGTCATTAAAGGCAACATTGAAGTAGTTCGAATGCTGAGAGAATTTGAGAGCACCCAGACATTGTCACTGACAGTTGTAAAGGGAAAGTTAGTTATTGAACCACCAATTGGAGAAGATCAAGATGCACAGCAAATAGATGCAGAGCCAGATGTTGTCTTTGCTGTTGCTGAATCAGGTGTTGTGCACAAATCAGTTCCTCCTAATTGTCAGTTACATCTTGGGACACAGAAAAGTGTAATTTTTTGCCACTCAAATCAGTTCCTCCTAACTGTCAGTTACATCTTGGGACACAGCTTAACACTGAAGTAAGTGTCAATTATGCTGATTTTCAGTTTGATTCAGATGAGGAGGACAATGCAGTTACTGAGGAAGAAATTCCTGTAGGAGAAGAAGAAGATGACTCAGATTCAAGCAGTGATGAAGAATTTGTAGTTGATGTGGACCTCTTAGGTGCAGGAGAAGAAGAAGGTGACTCAGATTCAGTGCAATATGTGGAAGAACAGAGTGCAAAGAGGAGGAAAGAGGAACATGAGCTAGATGAAACTATTGCTGACATAAAGAGGAAGAGAGCTGAATACATGGCTAGTACACACTGTGAGGGGGACACAGATCCTGAAGATATATATGACATGGACCAGGAAGAAGATGATGAGGAGGCCCAAGAGATCCCAGTTCCTGAGCCTGTTAAGAAGAAGGCAAAGAGGCCAGGTCCTACAAGTAGGTCCCACTCAAGTGCTGGGCCAACCATTAATCCTAATTGGTTTCCATCTTAAGAAGAGGAAGATACATGTTTTGAAGCAGATGATGATGGCAATGAACCAATGTCCTTTGTTATCAGCTCTGGCAGAAGGAGTAGAGCTAAGAAAAGACCACCTAGGGTCTGGTATGATGAGGACAGGATGCATCCAGAACAACAATTTCAGCTGAAGCTCTGTTTCAAAGATTTTTACCAATTCAGAGAGGCCCTTGTCAACTTGCATGTGAAACAACTTAGAAGATACAAATATCACAGAAACTGCAGTGATAGGATAATAGTTTGATGTGATGGAGATGGATGTCAGTTCTACATGGTAGCAGCACAGATAAGAAATGAGCCCACTTTCTGCATTAAGAAGATGAGGTTGGAGCACACATGTCCCACCCAGTCTGAGAAAACTAGGATTAGTTCAAGGTGGCTTGGCAACAAAATGCTTGAAACTGTCAGATCAGATCCCAACACTACTGTACCTGCTATTGTTGACAAGGCAAAGAGGCAATTTGGGCTTGAGATTCCTAGGATGATGGCATGGAGGGCTAAGAAGAAAGCAAAGGAGATTGTGCTTGGTGATCACAAGAAGCAATATAAGAGGCTGAGAGACTATTTGGAGACTGTG